ATTTTTTACAGGATTGGGGATAGTGGTCATCTCTGGGCAGGCTGAGTAGCAAGGAGGTATGATGAAGAGGGGAAATCAGAGGGTTTCTAATGACCCTGGTAATACTCATTTTCCTAATCTGGGGAGAGGGTACATGGGTGTTCATTTATTATCTTTCTTTAAAATGTACATTTTATATACACTTCAATATTTCACAAAATTTAAAAAACTAAAAATAAGGAATGATCCTTATAGTCCTAGAGTGTTGTGCTGTTTGTGTTTGTAATGCCAGACTCCTTGGCCATAAAATAAAAGGGGCCAGATTTTTCCAGCAGTTCTTCAGGGCTGCCATACTCTATAATCTTCCCATTGTCTAGGACCATTACCCTGAAATAAGGAAGAAAGAAAAGTCTTAGGAAGTAGCATCTCAAATCTTAGCATTTACAAGAATAATTAGGAAAGTCCCATCACCCTATGGTCAAAAAATAAAAGGCGCCCATCCTTTCCAAATGGTTTTCTAAGGTAACTGAGGTCGCCTTCATTTTGAATTGTGCTGTGTCAGAGTTGGAAGAAGCAGAAGGCTTCCAGTCATTTTACAGAGGCAGCTGCTGAGACTCGGGAAGGTTGGGGAGGTCTGTCTGTGGTTGACATCTGCCCCTCGTGGCTCTGGCCTCAACCTCCCCATCCTCAGTCAATAAACCAGTCACCATCAAGGCGATTCCAACGCATGCAACCCCTCCGTGTGTCAGAGTAGAACTGTGCTCCATAGGGTTGTCAACGGCTAATGGTTCTTTTCTTTTTTAAAACTGTGTTTGGTGAAAGTTTACAGAGCAAATTTGCTTTCCATTCAACAGTCCATACCCATTTAGTTTCATGGCATTGACGGCAATCCCCACAATGTAACAGCTCTGTTCCCCCTTCCTCCCTGTGGTTAGCTTTTCCCTGTGTCCTTCTTTCCTATGCATCCCTGCCCCCTGGGTTATCTCCCTGGGCAAATGCTGCCCTCAAGGGCTGAGTTTTCTAAAGTAGATCACCAGGCTTTTCTTCCCAGGAGCCTCTGGGTAGATGCAATGTCCAGCCTTTAATTGTGTGTTAACCGTTAGCACCACCCAACGACTCTACTCAGTTAAAAACTATATATAATTTCCAATTTCACCGTTAAGTGAGTTCGCTTAGCCCTGTCAGCTTCCATGAATTTACGGTATAATTTTGGACAGATTAGTGGACCTCTCTAGGACTCAGTTTCTTCAGCAGTCAAATTATGGTGGCTGAAGCTTCTGCTGTAAGGATCTCATAGCTGCCGTTGTTACTGTCCATCAAGCTCTGTCCCACCCTTCACTCACTTGTCACTGTCCATGATGGTGTGCAGCCTGTGGGCAATGGTGAGAACCGTGCAGTGGGAGAACTCCTTCCGGATGGTCATCTGAATGAGGTGGTCTGTCTCTAGATCCACCGCAGCAGTGGCCTCATCCATGATCAGAATCTTGGATTTCCGAAGCAGAGCCCTGGCCAGGCACAGTAGCTGCCTCTGCCCAATGCTGCAGCCAACAAAGGAAACCAAGCATTAGGCCCTAAGGACCAAGGAGTAAGTAGGCTTTGTCCATGGGGGACAGTGTTCATATTCCAGATGAGATTTTTCCAAACCCCTTCTCCTACATCGCCCCAGAATGCTTTAACCACTTCCATTTTATTGTTGTCATGGGCAATATTTTTCAAACCCTTCCAATTACAAGACTTATCACAGGCACTTAATAAATAATTCAGATTTCTGGGTCCCATTCTCAACTGGGAAGGAGCCTACGAGTGAGTATTTGTAATTAGCACCCCCAAGAGATTTTCATGTTTAAACATGTTTGGAAAACACGGGCCCAGGAACAGTGCTTGCATTTGACCACGGTGACATTCCAGCCCATCAGCTACAGCTCCAGAAACAACATTAATGCCACCAAGTTCACTTTAGCAGTATCTGACCCGACACCATTAATACTGAACCACACGGCACCAGAATGCCCCAGTGGCATTTCTTAGTGGCCTTCACAAATCCATTCATTATTTTAATGTGTAATTCTAGTCTCAAGGCTAATTATTTGTTTAAGGCCTCTGCCTTGATTAGAGATGGAGCTATCTAATGAACACGATGTCTCGGTGTGAGATGCAATGTATGTGAAATTCGAATATGCTTGTAAAATGCAAATGACGTTAATTTGCTAAAAACCCCTAATGAAAGCCGGACCTCTTACTAACATAAAGAAGCTTTGGGAAATGATGTGAAGGGAATATTCAGGAATTTACTAATTGCTCTTTCCTGCTGTGGCCATTAGAGAGCATATTAAACAGGAGGTGGCTAGACGAAAGTTTTAAGTTCTGTAATTCTCTTGTAAGAAAAATTCTGCAGGAGATGAGAAGTCACCCAAGATGAACTTCCAGCTTCTCTCTGTAATGTAGGAATAGGGAACTACAAAACGATTTACTTAACTTTGCCCAACTGCTACGCTGATCACCGGACTCCATGGTAATAGGCTGCTACAGAGACACTGGTTTTGCTTTTCCATTGCTGGCTCTCTCCCCAGCCTGAGGACCCATCCCTTATTAGAGAAATTAAAGTTTTGATTCCCCAAACCAGGGGGATCTCTACTTCCATAGAGATACCGCCTCAGAAACCCAAGCCAAGTTAAGAATCAACACTCCAGGCAGTGCTTTTCAAACTGTAATGGGCACAAAAATCCCCAAGTCTCTTGCTACAGTGCAGGTCGCAGGTTCTGGTTACTTAGGTTAGGGCCTAAGAGTCTGCCCTACAGAATCTTTACAACAAGCTTCCAGGTGAAGCCTATGCTGCTGGGCCAGTAACTGAGCTACTGAGTCCTTTCTTTCTTTCAGAGCTTCAACTGCCAACAGTCCATCCCCTGCCAAGCACCGCTGAGCAACACCTGGAACAGCAGCAAGACGTACTCATGAGCTGCAGGCTTTGGCTGAAGGCTGACTGGAGGGCGTGAAGGTTAAAACCACACTGTTGCAGGGGAAATGCCAGGCCAACTTGTTAATCTACATGTGAACACACAGTGAAGGCCCAAGTGTGATATGTCACCCACAAACATAAACACTTTGAAAAGGTGTAAAGAACTGTGACTCAAAGCTGGATGCTGTTTTAACACGCTTCAACACTCTCCAAGGACTTTGCCAGGAACTACATCCCCATCATCCACAAGCCCTTGCGGTCAGCGATCCTCAAACTCCATGCACAAAACAATCCCCTGGAGATTTTCTCAAACTTCCCAGGCCCGGGCTGCACCTCAAACCAATTAAATCAACCTGTCTAGGACTGGACCAGGCATCGGATTGGTTCAGTCCAGATTCAGTCCGCAGCCAAGTGGAGAACCTCTGCTCTGCTTTCTACATCCCTCACAGGGGAGTGGTCTGTGAACTCATGCCATAATGTCACAGGAACTCATTTTCCATGTACGAGGTATTAAAAGGAAAGAGTTTCAAGGTTCTCTAAACACTTCCATTTCTGTTTTATCCTTTCATCTTCACAACGGTTTCATTTTACACATTAGGAGATAGACCCGCAAAGCTGAAATTCTATGACACTCTCCGGGTTTTGCCTGGCACAAGGAATATGAGGGGTTGTCCCTTCATATCCCCTGTCTGTGGGGGATGTGGGTTATGAAACGTTACCTAAGGTTGTCACCAGCCTCCGTCACTTCATGGGACAACCCGAGTTGCAGACCTGCTACAAAGGATTTTAGGTGAGCCAGCTCCAGGGCTTTCCAAATCTCCTCGTCTGAGTAGTTGTTGAAAGGGTCTAAATTCATCCGCAGGCTTCCGGAGAACACGATGGGGTCCTGCAAGGCAAGGGACAAGGGGGCTGGAGAGGCTGGCGTCAGAAAAGGAACTAGTATTCCTTGTGACCTGGAGAAATAGTGGCTAGGCCTCAGATGGAAAGCTGGTTGGTGGTCAGACTTCTGCAAGGCCTCCCCACTGACGACTTGGAGTGGCTGATGCGCCAAGATTAAGAGCAGTCCTTGTTGGTTTGTTCTTTCTTGTTTTCATGTATGAATTTTCACACTTGCCACAAAACCTCATAACACAGTGGGAGGAATGTCCCCCACCCCCAATCAAAACTCATGTATTGAAGGTGGAGGGATCAGGGTAGGGGAGAGAGGGAGAATTCAACTGCATGAGAGGAATGCATTATGCTTTTGAAGAGGCGGGAGAAAAGAGAGTATCAAACTGAGCAAACAGCAGACAAACAAAAACTACTCTCGAGAGACTTGGCTACAGCGAGCAGAGGAGGACTGGTTCCAACGAGGAATCCCAGAGCGCCTGAGAGTGGAGGAGAAGGTCGGTGGGTGGTGAGGGTGAAACCAGAGGAGACCATCATAGCCGTTACTCAGTAGGTCCAGAGAAGAAGCCAGAGGGATGTCTTTCTTGCTGATGCACTAGTGTTCCGTTTGCTGGTAGAAACCTGCAGCAGAATTTCCCTCCCCTATCATTTAGGTGAGGAGCCCTGGTGGTGCAGTGGTCAGTGCTCAGCTGCTGACCCCAAAGGTTGGCGGTTTGAATGCACTGGGAGAAAGATTTGGCAGTCTGCTTCCAAAAAGATTTACAGCCTCGGCAACCCCTGTGGGGGCAGTTCTCTGTCTTGTCAGGTGCCTGTGAGTCGGAATCCACTGGAAGGCAATGAGGATCTTTTAGTCACATCAGATGAGGAGGATAAAGCTTAATGGCTTCAAGCCTCTGTGGCGGAACTGCTAATTCTGATTGCATAGGTCTTGCAGCGCTGGGCCACAGAAAAGCTAAATAAACATCTGTTCTAGTTGACTTCTGTTATGTTGCTGCCACCTACTGGTAGGAACTGGCAGTCACAACCAAAAAAACCAAACCCGCTGCCAACGAGTTGATTCCAATTTATAGCGACCCCCACTGGGTTTCAGAGGCAGTAAATCTTTATGGAGGTAGAGTGCCCAGTCTTGCTTCCGTGGAGTGGTTGGTGGGTTTGCACTAGCTTAGGTATCTTGGATAGACTGCAGAAATGACAGGGCTAACAATATACACCAAGAAGAAAATGCCCCTGTATCCTGTAGAGCAAGTGGTCCCCGCACCGCATGCACCAGAGGTGAGTTCTAGAGCTCACCTGGGGGATGATGGTCAGTTTCTCCCGAAGGTCGTGGAGCCCAATGGAAGCAATATCTACTCCATCGATGGTGATCTGGCCTCCTGCAGCCTCGAGGATTCTGAACAGGCAGTTTGTAAGGGATGATTTCCCGGCTCCTGTCCTGCCCACCACACCAATCTGTAAACACAGTTCCTCTGTGTGTTAGTCCAAATGATTCTTGAAAAAAAAAATTATTTAGACGGGGGGCATTCATAATCACAGGTGGTAGGAGCTAGCGATTGGCTACTTCATCTTGAAGATGTTAAACTGATTTTGTTTTGTTTTGTTTTTAAATGTGCATAGGGCAGAAAAACAGTGGCCCTCCCACCCTACCTCCCAAGCTTGCTTGTTGGGAACTCCAGGGACTGTTGGTAATGGGCACCATTTCCTCTCAGCAGCTGTCGTTGTCCCAATTATTACTGAAAATTATGGATTTAAAAAGAAATCCTTGTTTAGAAGTGAGGAGAAAAGAAGAATCAGGTTTGCTGTTAGCTGAGAGCCAGACCTTGATGTGGGCCTCAGCATCTTTCCCGAGCTTTCCTAGTTCCTCCATCAGGACCCCAAGTCCGCAGAGAACAAGAGCATCATAGGAAGGTGCTGGACTTTTCAGCCCAGAAGGAGAACCAGCCCCTCTCTCTCCAGGGAACAGCCCTCAACACTGCCGTTCTCCACACATTCCTTCCCGAGGGCTGGGTGCTCCTGGTTTCCTTCCTACTTCCTCTCACAGCCAGGGCCTTCACAGGAAATGAGCACTGTCAACTCATTGAGAAAAAAGAGGCTAACCTCAGCTGGGAGGCGGAAATGGGCAGAGCAGACAGCCCTCTACAGCTGCAATAAGTCTCTCGGTTTGGTCCCTTGTCAATATCCTGCTTTCTGGCCATGGCACTGTGTCCTTCCAGCTCTCCAGGGCAGAGAAAAGTACCCTGACCCTCATGTGCCGTACAAATGATGAAAGCCCAGAGTCCTACTGCCTGTCACCTCTGTCCTCAACTCGTCACCTTCACAAGGACTCGCGCCCAGTGCGGCTCCACCTACCTTCTCCATGCTCCGGATGTCACAAGAGATTCCTTTCAATACCAGATCCAGCTCAGGCCGGTAGCGCACTTGGTAGTTGCTAAACTGGATCTCCCCTCTGCTGGGCCATCCTGCTGGAGGTCTTTGATCGGTCACCCAGGGTGCCTGGCAAGGAGACAGGAGCCGTGCAGCAAGTTTGCTTTACATGGTGGCAACTCAGCCAAACAGTCCCCACAGGACTCATGTCACAGCACAGGTAAAGGGAGCCCTGTGAGCATCTGCATTGAATAAAGTCCATTTGTACTTCACGGAAGGTTTCCACCTTATTTAATTAAAGAATCCTTATCCCCTGAGCCTCCTCTGTGGACCTCCATAATAAAGCCACATTTTACCTTGTGAATCCAAGACCTGACTTCCTGCAACCCACTTCCTATTTTGAAGACATTCGTAGTTTGAAGAAATTAGGTCATTTGAGTCACAGTGAGGGGAATTTTAGGAAAGGAAACCTTTACATCCCCCACCCCATGTGAAATCTCTAGACCAGGTGGAGATAGTCTTGAAGGAACTGCACTTTTTTTTTTTTTCTTGGGTTTCCCTAATTCTTCCTCACCTCATTTTCCACTTTTATGTACTCGTTTATTCTCTCAACAGCCACAATGTTGGTCTCCATTTCTGAGGTCATCCTCACTAACCAATTTAGGGTTTGTGTTATCTGCAAGAAAAAAAAAAAACTCAGAAGACTGAAATTTACCTTGAGTTCAGAAACCAAATCATCAACTCATGAACCATAGGTCAGTCAACCCAGTGCCTGTTTTATATCTAGCACTGGGCTTTGTGAGAGATTAAGGAAAAGTGGAAAAACTCCTCACCTCCTTCAGGGAGGAAATGAGACAAGTGCATCAAATGGCTATAGATAGATGAGTGTTCAGTTGTGTGGGTATTTGCATGGAGGACAACAAGAGCTTGGAATGGTTCAGAGCTAACACTAGGGTTAAGAGAGGCTGCTAACTAGTGGAGTGGGACCAAAACTCAGGCCTCCTGTCTCTAGACCTAGTGCTGTCTGGGGTGGGGTGGATGGCATCCTACAAGTGGGAAAGAGCATGAGAAAAGACACAGGGCAGGAAAAGGCCTTCCAAAGGGCCGCGTCCCCTCTGCTCTCACTCAACTATAGCTTGATTGAAAACCCAGCCCTGACGTAGGCATAGCCACGTGGAGCTTTGTGCTATTTTCCTCATGGACTCTAGTGTCTCTTTGCCATTACCAAGATACATCTAAACCACCGGGAAAAGGATGGCCATGATCTGGGCCAGCCTCGACACCAGGCGCTCTGTGGATTACTCAGATGCAAGTTTCTTTCAGGCAAACTCAGCGCCTGGCACCTGTGCACAGGAAGTACTATTGGGCAGTCCTTAGAAGGGGGACAGTCCACATTTCAGGGGACCAGATTGTGTGGACCAAGAACAATTGCTCTGTCCGGGTGAAAGCTTGTGGAATTGCTGATATTTGAATGGTTCGTTTGTTTTGGTTCAACCAAATGGTTCCCTGAGTTATTGTCTCCTCTAATCTAAGTTAATTACTCTAGAAATGGGGTGGTGAAGGGACAGTGGCACAAGGCACCCAGTGATTCTGGTGAATAACAGAGCCCCTTTGGGTGCCCTGTTATGATCACATGGGGCCTTATTAACTCCTACTGAAGACAAGACCATATAAACCCCACTTGGCCCTATGTAAACCTCAGATATACTAGTTCAAGAGGATGTCATGATAAAATGGTCAAATGACCCACCACTATTCACTTATCGAACAAATTTGTATCGAACATTTACTGGAGCGCTGGCCACTGTGTCAGGTGCTGTTGTTGCTGTGAGGTGCTGTTGAGTCAGTTCTGACTCATGTTGTACATAGTGACCCTGTGTACAACAGAACGAAACACTGCCTGGTCCCGCGCCAGCCTCACAATCCCTGCTATTCCTGAGCCCATCACTGCAGCCACCGTGTCAGTCCATCTCATTGAGGGTCTTCCCCTTTTTTGCTGACCCTCCACCCGACTAACCATAATATACTTTTCCAGGCAATGGTCCCTTCTGACCACATGGCCAAAGTAGGTGAGACAAAGTCTGGCCAGTCTCACTGCCAGAGAGTACTCCAGCTACACTTCTTTAAACCGACAGACAAGGGGTGGGTTTCAGGTGCTAGGAAGTGATAGTGTTTAACATTTCCCCTAGTCATGCTGGGGATGCTGCAGTGAGACGCTTTATATAGTTCATCAAATTCTATGTTTTTAAAATTAAAAGTAGCTCCAATTATGCTGTGATTTAAGAAAAACAAACACAGAAGGTATTTGTTCAAAACACTTTCTGGTTATTGCTATATTCTGGAGAAGAGACTCAGTTATTCTCTCTTTTGACAATGACAACCCAAAGAGACAGGGAGGTATTTGATCGAATCCTTTGAAATTGCCTTAAGGCCCAAGAGCACAACATTTATGTCCATTTTTTCAGATGATGCTGATGCTTGTTTCGAAAGGCTGAGGAGCATGTCCACAAGTTACACAATTAGTAAGAGAGGGTGCCAAGGTTTGGGCTTCAGTCTCCCCCAGTGCCCCTGGATCTAGAAATGTATCAGGAGCATAGACTCCACCGTGGACCCCAGACTCAATTTAAGAATAATTAACTCCCAACTTTCAGACTCACATTAAGTGCATTGGACAAAACGAAGCCCACAGTGTCCCCACTCAGAGTGTCTCTGTAAATGACCATCATCAGAGAAGAAAAGAAGACGATGAGGTTTCCAACAAACTCCAGGCGAACTGCAAGCCACCTGGGAGGAAACAGAGCCGGAGAGGGAAGCGTCACTGATCTTCACTCCCTGACCTTAGCCACCAGCTAAGCGTTCATACAACCTTCTTAGAGGACTTGAGTTGGTAGGGCTGCACTCTTAGAAAGTGCCTCAATTCACCAATCCCATGTGTTCTAAAAGGCTTTTATATTGGATATTTAGAGAAGAAACTATTTCAAAGATAACAGGAGAGGTTGCTAAACTAAAAGAATCCTATGATGCAATGTCTCCAAAACTTACCAAATCCTAAGAACCCTCTGGAGCAGTTGTTCAAAACACTTCTTAAAAACAAATGTTAAAAGTCCCGGATCCTCCTTATGCACAATCAGAAACCTTGTGGGATTTGGTGCTTTCATCTGGATGTTTAGGGTCATGATTTCATGGTGCTTCAGGGGTCTTAAAAGCTTGCAAGTGGTCATCCAAGGCACAACAACTGACCTCTCATTGTAACAACAGAGGAAGGAAAGTCAGGAGTAAGAGGAGGGTATGGAATGGATGGCTTCCGTGAATTGCCTCCTTTGCCATGTGACCAGAAGAACTGGATGGTGTCTGGCTACCATTACTGAACATTCTGAGTAAATATTCTATAGAAGAATCCTCATCAAAAAGGGGAAAATGCAGAACAGAATTTCAAATTCTCATGAACTCCAGGCTTCTTGGAGACATGAAGGTTGGATGAACCCTTGACACTATTTTCAGAGATAACTTTTAAACCTTCAACCAAAAATATCCCTTGAAGTCTTCTTAAAACCAAACAATAGTTTAGCTTAACTAGTAAAGATACGTCTGCCTTGAGCAATATGCTTTTTAAAGAGCTATCTTTATAGGCTCAAATTGAAAGATTAGAAGGGACCTTAGGGGGGAATTTATATTAATGTGAGAGGAATGACTCAGAAAAGGAGGGTGAGAACGGTTGCACAACTGAAAGAATTTAATCAGTGTCACTAAATGGTACATGTGGAAACTGCTTTAAAAAAAAAAAAA